ATGTTATCAAGAACGAGAGAAACACAGGCAAATATCGATTATGCAAATGAAGACTTAATTTGCATAATTAATGAGAAAATGTTATAATTGCATAGTGGTAACTGCCTGGAATTTCATACTTGGGGTGTTTGAAAGTTAAGTGAAGGTGAACATAATTAAACATAACTTATTCAAATAAGGACCACATTTGCATAATTTATGAGAAAATGGCATTCTTTGTTAAGATAAGACTGTCTTTTGGTGGAGAATATGATCAACAGACTGATATAATTCATGCAATCGAGGATCCTATTTGCATAATCAGGGTGATTAGTATATTTCTTATTCATAAAGGCTAACATCATTTGGCGAAGGTATGAGATCGTGGAACTCTAGTATGGAAATGTGACTAATGCTTGAAATTAAGGATATGGCCTTTTTTTTATAGCTGATAGTACATAAAATGAGACTGTGCCAGGACTTGCATTTTGGGCCAAGTGCACCAGGTCACAGATATACTTCTAATATCCAGTAGCAGTAGACAAAAAACGAAATTGTTGATTCTGGTTTCTTTCAATCAGATAAGACATTATTGAGGGCATCTCCACAGTGGTTACCTTACACTTGACCTGTATGTTGCTTTTACCTCTTGTCTGTTGGATACTGAGCTGTCAGATAATAGCACGGACATAAAGAACAGCACAACTCCTTTTCAGAGGTTGTAATCAGTTCCTTTGACATGATTTTGTCCTTTTGTTGATGTACATCGAATGTGCCACCTTGTGAGTGACTTTGTCACTACATGCAGTATTGTGCCCGTAATTTCACCACATGTCAGAAGTGCCACCTACAAGTTATGACATGAATAGCAGGCCTTTGTTTTGGGTCTTAGTTGCATTTCATATCATTTTGTTGCCCATATACATGTAACGTTACATCATATCCAGTCTTAGAATGTTGTTTTTTTTCAACACTATCAGATGATGATTTAGTTAAAGTTAATGGAGTTATGAAGTGGCTTTCACACTGTTTAGCAGTGTTGCATTCTTACTATCAGTATAAAAGTGGTCTTGTTTTATAATTTCAGTTAAAAAGAAATGGGATTGTCACTGGGACATATTTAATAGAAATGTTTTTTTATTCAAACGTCCTCTGGTGTTATTTCAAAAGATTTCATGGAATTTAGCATGCGTCTCTTAGTACCAGTAGTACTGCTTCTGTAGCAAGTTTTTGAGAAGCAAATAAAAAGAATTTTTTAAAGCCCTTAGATTGTATTGGATGTCCTTAAGAGAACCCAAAAAAAAGGCTTCATGCTATTAAGAAAGCGGCTTTTCTTCTTCCATATTGTTAACCAAGTAGGTCAGTGGAATTGATGAATGTCCCTTTTTGTCAGGAGAAGCCTTTGGGCACATGAAACCTCATTAGTACTTAGGAGTACTTGCGTCATCATATGTTGGACTGTTCTATGATTATACCTGGTAGGGGGTGAGAGGAAAGAACTACCGTCAAAGTGTTGCATTATTTTGGGAGTTTTGTTGACTGGTGATTGGTTGGCCAGCAGTGTTGTTTTATGTTACCTCAGTGCACATGTTTGTTTTCAATACAAATTTAGAAACAGCATGAAGGACCTGAGGTGTTGTCACCTGAATTTGATTGATGTAACAGATAACTCCCTACGCTGAGTGTATCTGCCAGCTCATAAAACCTGCTAATTGGCCGGCAGTTTTGTACGTAGAAGGGTTGTGAGTCAGACTAGAACAGTCGGTAAGCTGTGAGTAAAGTGTCCCTGGGTACAGCATGTGGAGGTCAACTCTGTGCTCAGATTAGACCGGTTTTACAGGAGGCAGATTAACTTCATGTACCCATTGCTGTTGTTTACTGCACTGCATGTAAAGGAGACAGTTTTGAGGGGAACATTCCACCACTTTGCCATGAAAAGATCCTTGTACCAGACCATTGGTGACTCAAAACACTTGGAATTCGGGATTCTAAAGGATAGGAGGAGTTGTGCTGTTTTCTGTGTGCTACCCTAGGAGTTGAAATTGTGTGTTCTTCAATTTAGTTCGAAGCTGAAAATGTGATTCGACCCACATACATGTTGAACTGCGTCTTGGAATGGAAATCTGATGTTTCAGACCATCTGGGTGCCCCACATACAGGCATTGGACAATGACATGTTTTTTTACCAGAAGGGAATCTTGCCTAATTCTTAGGATTTCAAGCTCGAGTACATGGACTTGGATGAGTTTCTGGCCGAGAATGGCATACCGGTGAACCACGAAGACGATCACCATTCGGCCAGCCTGCCCACGACTTCGCAGACTGTGATGCAGCACAGCCCCCCTCCTACGTACACCACCATGACAACCATGCAGCCCGCGATGGCGTACGGACAGCACCCCAGGTCACCCCCTATGGACCTGAACAAGCGTAAGCATTCCTATCATCACCCTGGCAATATTCCCATACAAATGACTCCTCCGATCATGATGTTGCCTGGTATACATCTGCCCATGTCCCATCATGAACTGGCCACTATAAATGGCCACCACAAGGACAGGGCAGGTCCCTGGGACAGTCACAAAGCACAGGCAGAAGCACCGTACGTGTCCATGGCTAGTGTGTACCAACGTATTTTGTACAGACTAGAAGGAGAGACTGATCAGCCTGTACCCATGCTAGAACAGCGTTTCTATGAACCGAAAACTGGGTGCCCAGTGCCAAACTTTAAGTATGGCAGCCACAAACTGTTCCTTCACAAATCCAACGGAGACACTATATCAAGTTTATGCTGTGAGAATGTAGACTCCCAGCACTCTAACGTAAATGGCAAACAGTTTCATGGTGAGAAACGACGACCGCCCCCCTTGATCCAAAAACTGCCGTCAGGCCATCTACACATCAGCGACGTGCGCTCAATCGCTGATCCCAAATTGCCCCCATGTGAGCTCATGCCACGTGGAGAAATAGATATCAAACCGCTCGTAAGTAGCCTTCTCCCGCGGATGGATCACAAGCAACAAAACATTGCCCACGACAGCACTAGACCTGTTACAGAACAGGCCAAACATGAACAAGCACCAGACAAACTCTCCTCCGTGTATGTTAGCCCTTCTGCCCCCCTTCGTACTCCGTCAAGGTCCAGTTATTATTCGACCGAAGCTTGGTCAGATGCTGATTCAGCTGAGCCAGAGGATCTCACTCTATGTAAGTACTATTCATACAAATATCATGGATCTCAAACTCAAAGTTTGCCTGAAAAGCAGACTGTGGCAGAGTTGGTTTTTTTACTAAACATACATTCGGAGACTCAAATTTGTAGTGTTTTGTAAAGCTTTTATTTTGATGACAGCTGTGCGAGTGTCAAGTCATTTAATTGAACACGTGAGAGTACAATGTTTTTCAAAACTCTTGACATTTGTGTGAATCCACTTTATTCATCTGCTTTCACGTGAATGGATTCTTCAGTCTACTAGTACTGTACTTCCACTTAAGAGTTCCAGAATGAGTTTCGCAAGTGTCAAGAGCATCAGAAATGACGCTGATTGCATAAGCCGAATCAATTCTCAGTCAATTAGTGTTATGTTCAGAACAGTTCTTAGGATTTATGAAGAAAACGGTTGCCTACACTTGTACACGTGAATTCAAAGTACTTCTCAAATGTGACACTGTACTCAGGCTCTTCAGCCTAGTACACCCATTTAGCAGACACATGGCACCAAGCCATATGAGATCAAACAATTTTTCATAACTCTCAAGATAGCAAGTTTCAAGAACTTTCTGCCCTGATTCTAATTCACAGTTTTCACTGTAAGTGTGACCTCTCAGCCGAAACTGATCATGACAAAAAAAAATGTAATATTCCCGCCCTTTTACTGTGTTGCTATCATTGTTTCCAGCACATTAAAGAGTGAGATTGCAATGTATAACTGACAGTGACCTGGCCTGATAAAACGCGTAACGTAAACAACTGGAGCTCAGTCTGATGTAAACCTTGGTGGTGTTCACATCGCAGAGATCGAGCTCCGCTGCGTAATATTTCAATACCTAAAGGCCCATTACTCTCCACACAGACAGAACAACTTAGCATGGCATTGTATGATAGTGTATATGAGTCAATAACTTCAAAATCACCGTAAAAATACTCTAGGTTTTCACTGACCTTCGGACCACAGACAAAATCTAACTGGTGCCATTCTGTTCTATTTTGAGCCTCAATGCTGTCTGACCAGGTCCAAACTACATTGTAACTTTATCATCTTTAATCGTGCATTGCTAAGTTTACTCTGTTCAAGGCAGAGCTGCAGTCTTTATACATAAAAACAAATCCCCAAAACAGAACAATTATACTAAATTTATAGCTTAAGTCTCCATTACATTTTTACAGTGTTTTAAAACCAACTTGCTCATATTCAATAGCACTTGAATAAAGCAGAATTTGCTACTGGTCAAGTTTTCTACATTTAAGCAGTGTCTTAAACAAAAAGTACAAAGTCCCAATTAATGATTCAATGTGGTCGCTTGAATTCTGCAGAAAAAATGCAGCACAACAGTAAAAAAAATGGTGCACTAACTTTTTGTTTTGTATTAACGTTGTACACATGTACATGTAGCTCTGCACACTGTAATCAATGTTGTTGGCACCACATAGAAATATTGATTTTCAATAGCAGTAGGGGTGAAGGCCTCTAGTCGTCATCGTCACGTATCAAATTTCAAATTGGTTTATTGCACAAAAGCATATTGCAGCCTGACGGCTGAAATGCACGCTCATTCACGATCTGTCATTGGAATAATAAACTTTGATTGTAATTATCAAAACAAGTACAATTCTAAAATCACTCTAATTGTAGCAGTGTGTAACAAATCTAAAATCACACTAAATGTAGTATTTCAACAATATGTAGCTATACAAACTTGGTCAACTAATAATAACTTTGATACTTTGTCTGGGGGAAGTCTCAGTACATTAGATATAGGCAGACCATAAAATCGTGAGAAAGTTCTATTACAACCTATAGCCTAAACAGTTCAGGTGTTACATATTCTTAACATAGGGATAGGGTCTTTACTACTGAGTCATTACTGTAGTAGAGTCTTAAATGACATTGAATGTCTTTTGCCCTCGACCACTGCTTTCCATTCTCTTCAAAACAGAGAAGTAAATAGCAGCAAATTTCCACCCGATTTACAATAGGCTGCCCCCAAAGTGGCACAGATAGTACTACTTTTCGTAATGTGAAAGAACTGTGACACAGTCACGCTATTGAAACTAGCCGATTCCATTACAATTTCTTGCTAGTTATTATAACAAATGTTTTTGGTTACACGCTTGGCTACACGATTACGAAACTCTGTGGGGGGGGGGATTGGGACCAAGAAAAAGCAGCCGTTATGGGCAGACGGCCAGCTTATAGATCTACATATAGCCCGATAGGGCATGAATGTACAATAAAGGTTATTATTATTATAATATGGTCGCTTGGGCAAATTTGACTGTAATTTTCTTTGTAACAGTTGGTCATCAAATGTTAGCATTCAATTATTGAAGGCTAAGTTCAATTTGAATAGCAACATTGTTGCATGAAGAATGACATGCATAATGCATTTATGTAATATAGAGTCTGACACAAATTAAAACTTGAGCGTAAAGACAGCCATACATGTATGTGTACATACGTATTACTGTAATTCACTTTATGTTCACAGTAGCAAAAGTTCCCAGTCTGACTCTGTGAAAAATTGGAGGTGTTCATGTAACTACATGTTCATGGTGGCGGCAGGTGCAGAAAAAAGAAAGTCGGGGGATCATATGTTAGCGGTAATTATAAGTTCGCAGGACAGAAGTGGCAGCGAAAAAATAAAAAACTACAGTATATGCCTGATAAATTTCGATTAGTGCATCGTCAATGGTTCTGTGAAGTAACGGCAAATAATTGTCATCTTTTCAGCCCTGATTATGAGGTCTAACTTTTCTTACAACGAAAACTGGATGAAATTAGCAGATTTAACAGAGCTGAATCAAAATATAGACTCTGTTAGTAATGTTTTTGTTGTTCACATTCGTGAGCTGATGGCATTTTGTGATAAACCCAGGCTACATTTTATCATCCTATCTCTTGCATAATTTAAGTTAAGTGGTCTAGCTGGAAAGACTTGAAATCCTGATCTATTGTCATGTGTCTACTGTCTAGTAGATGAACCTAGTACCCCTACCAATGTCCAGACAAATTAAAACTTCATCAGTCCATGATCATGTACCAGTACACAGCTCTAATCCATGACGTGTGAAGGAGTGACAGATATTACCAGCAGGAATTTATATGACCACGAACCAAAGGATTAGAAATGAAAATGAAACATTTTTCATTTGTATGATAATTGTGGAAGGAACACAAGTTATGCTGGGCAACACAAATGGAAAACCAAAACTTGTGTAAACAAACATGAAAATTGATTTTGGCTCATTGTGCACACGAATCACCCACGGCATATGTCAAAGTATACCAGGCAACACACTGCAATTTACATTGTAGTAAACTGTTGAATTTTATGTTGTTGATAGTTTGGAGTACCTCCTGTTTTGATGTGACCAGTTCTAGTATTGTAATAAGAATTGATATTTGCAAAGTTTATTTTTCTAGTACCTTGATGGGGCAGAGTGTACACAAAATATATTTTGGGTCAAACTGTGACATTTGTGATAGGTGATTTTGAATCCTTGACATTTTGAGTAACATCTGTAAGATCATGGAACAAGATAAAATCTGAACTTCCAATACCTGATCAGATTTTGGACTCAATTCTACTGCATGTCAGTGAAAAAGGTTGCCTAGTTCGGGTATCATTCTGACTCCTTAGTTTTACTGTCACATACACATACATGTACAAGTGGAGTGAGAATGGTGCTCGGCAGTGTTCTAGCCAGTGCCCATCTTTTGCTGCTCGTGATGGACAAAAAAATTGGCGTGTAAAGAAAATTGGCGTGTAAAGATATGGAAAGAGATGTTGTTGAAGTAAGTCTATCAGCAAAATTTGCCTCTCAAAATGCAGGAAATAGCATTTCTGAGTGTCAGCTTGATTGTTGCACCGCGACACCTTGTGCCTTTGATTCTTGACATGATGTTATTACATTGAACAAAGTTGAAATGACAGAAAAAAGTTCAGGCTGCTAGATCACTGGTGTCTAGGCTGATAAACCCCTCTCTAAACATGTTGTAAATTTTGTTCTGCAGCTTCGACCAGCGGCGGCCACTACAGACAGCAGCTGTCCCCCACCCCGGGGGTCAGCCCGCCCCCTCACCTCACCGCCGAGGACGTCATACCGAAAGTAGACATCAGCTTGGACCCAGGTGACTTTTTTTTTTGCCGCTTTTCAAGCGTTGAAGGGGAGAGGTCAGGGTCTTAATGCTAGCGCATAAATACAAAATTAACAGAGTACAATTTCTAAGAATAGTAACGAACTTTTTAAAACTTGCAACATCGTCCAGTGAGTCCTGATCAAGTCCGTAGTGGATTATTAACTGTCTTTGAGGGTGCTTTTCTTACATTTGGTGGTACATGTAAATTACTCCATGTCATTGCACCTGAATACGCTATCGATCTCCGGTATAGCTCTCTACGGACCATTGGTACATGCAATTGGTTTGACACACTCTAACATGTTAATTAATCTAAAATATTTTTCTGATAGTGAGCGGATATTGTTGCTTCTTTTATCGATTTACAAACCTTGTTCAGTGAATATCAGGTGGGCATATTTTAGACTGGGTATTAAAAATCTCATGATTGATATAGAAACCTACTTTGATGATGCTTCCATGTTCTTAATTTCTTGGATTGCAAAATGTATAACGCTTGCAAAGGAGAGAAGTACAGTTCGGTTGGACTTGTTATTCATCTGAAAAACGAGTTACTGATATGCAAAAATTGAATAAAAGCATTCTTTGAACGTTTACTACCTGGAGGGTACAATTCCACATCCCATATCCTGAATCATTGGGATTCGTGCAACTGCATTACCTTAATATCTGTTTTTCATCCTTTCATGTGGGCTGTAACCAGCGTCTCCAGAGTGATTTATTGTAACGTTGAAAGACGGGGCAGTAATTGTGTATTCAGGCAGATGCACTTTGATGTCTATGCTAAAAGACATTCGTGGTACAGTAATTACCGTTCCTAAAAGACATTTTATTTCATGGTGATAACTGCTTGCAGCCTTTTCTTTTACCAGGTCTCCCTTTGTAGTGTGTTCTAATTTGGCCGTTTCATTCCTTTCATGCACAATTGTTTTCAGTACGTTAAGTGACGTTGTATGGTGTGATGGTTAGAATGTTTACCCTGGAACCAATTGCAACCGCATGCAGACCTGCCCGGATGTTGTGTCCTTGGGAAGTCACTCAGGTGTAAATAAGTACTAAGCTTTGGTTAGGGACATCCTTCCGACTCTGTGTTTGAGAAAACTGTTCTTCCTGCAACCTTATTAAAATGAATATTGAATAGAAATTGTTGCTTTGATTGTCAAAGCTATTGTGAGACTGTAGAAGTCAGTCTCATCAGTCTGCCCTGTGACACAGTCTAACAAACAGGACTCTTGTGGCTGTTTCTCCAGGTGACCTTGCTCTTGCATCCATTCCAGGAGCCAAAGAGGATTTCGACCCTCGCAAACGCGCCTTCACGGACGACGAGCTCAAACCACAGCCCATGATGAAGAAATCGAAAAAGGTCTACGTCCCGACCGACCTCAAGGACGACAGGTACTGGCAGCGCCGCCAGAAAAACAACATGGCGGCGAAGCGCTCCCGGGACGCCCGCCGGGTCAAGGAGAATCAGATCGCCATGAGAGCCAGCTTCTTGGAGAAGGAAAACAACGCCTTGAAAGAGGAGCTCTTGAAAGTCAAGGAGGAAAATGCGTACCTGAAAAAGAAGCTGACCAAGTATGAGCCGTAGATCATACTGATTGTTATCGAGAAGGGTTGAGTTTGAGAGAAGGGATCACATATGTTTTCTCTGAACTCAACAAGATCGTCACTATTTTAGGATATGAAGAGTGTACATGTAGTCATGTTGAGGTGTTAAAATACAGATTTAACCATTTGTTATGGGATGTACTTCTTGAAAAGTAGTCTTAATACTTCATACATACAATTCACAGCCTCATTTCACACACACGATACCTCTTCACGTTTGTGGGGACAATATTTAAAATCATGTGATTTTCAGTATCTTATTAGAAAATAAGCCAGTATTTCATCTTATGTTCTACAATATAGCTACAGGCAATTAGATTGTGGACAACAGGTGCCCGGGTGTTGCATAATTGTTATCTGTTTACGGGTGTTGCATAATTGTTATCAGAATGATACAAGCATGTTTGGCAAAACGCGAGCACCTTTCTGTTCTGCCAGTCAGACAAGTTTTAATAACACACAAGAGGTCACTAAACACACAAGAGGGTAGGTCATGTGAATCTTGAACTGCAACTCTTTGTGAGTAACTGTTTAGTATTCCCACGCTTCACCTTACAGACACACCTATCCTACTTATGTATATGTGTAACAATTTGGTACTGGTACTTAAGGTGAAAATCATAAGGTTGAAGTCTTTCTGTACACAGTGATGCAGATGTTTGTCCCTCATTTGTTTTGCTAGAGACATTTGGGATTACATCTACCAGACTGCATTATCAGACACCCTTTTTATTTTTCAAAAGAATAATTCCTGACACAAGTAAAATATCATAAGCAAATACTGCATGCATCCATTTGATAGCACCACATATTTCACATCTAAACACTATTCAGAATTTCAGATTATAAGAAGCAGACAAAGTGTATTATGCACATGCATACATACATTTCATAAATGTTCATCATTAATTCTTCAAACCAGATACTTAAATATATATTTTACACGTCACAGAATTCAATCTCAAACACAATAATCAGCCATAAATTGAGAAATATTTCATTTAAAATATTTGTCCCCACAAACAGTTGACACATATTGACTAATTACATTTTGTAATATTATATAGTCATACAAGACCTTTATGGCCAACAACATTGTATATCAGATTTAGCTGTCATGAAAGTTACCTTTTGAAAAAAAGTTCCTCTTTGGAACTTTTTTATTTAGTTTCAAAATTAAGGTTGGCTGGATGTTCCTTAGTTTGGTTTCGTCGAGTTTCTACTGAGACTTGGTCATTTTGGAGCTCACTACATGTAACGGTTATTTCTTGTAATTTTGTGAAAGTAGAACTTTTGTGATTCTGCACTGTAATTAGTAATGTCTCAAAGATGAATTTGAACTTGACTCAGTGCTCATTTTGCTGGGTTCACAGTGTGGAATGGGTAAACCTGTCCTGCAGGATTTGATCTATATGTTAAGTCATGGGATGACATAAAATGTACCACGACATAAAAAAATTATAGAATGATAACTGCTACAATTGATACACAGGACTGAGGACCAAAGTGAGCAATGTTGAGTAACATTAAATGTAACGGGAACGACTAAGACAGGAAAATGGTTTTGGTAATACTTTTATTGTTAGTGTTTGGTGGGTTTGTTTTGAATTGCAACAATTTACGCCAACCATCACAAAGCTTGTGTGTTAGATACATTAAGCTAAGGCCATACTATTTACTTAATGCTACAGTCCAAAAAGATCTGCCAACTTGGAACATTTTACTTATTATCTTGTGCAACGTCTAATTGTTTTACAGTCTGTAGCTATTTCCTGTTGGTGGTATGATTTGGTGACACCTAACTTAACGGTCAAACAGGGTCACAGTAATTTTATTTCATACATTCCAGACAATGAGAATCTTTCATAATACTCCAGAATTAATGGAAATCATTTTATGAAAATTTCCAGGATAACTTATATATCAAAATGTTATAAGAAAAATATATAAAAGAATTTAATAGAATTTGTTATAGGAAATTGATATCAAATTATAGTATGCGGTTATTTGGTCGGTGGTGTTTCTTTGATGTAGCTCTTTATGTGTGCAGACAATCTTTCAATGTAAATTCTGTACTGATATGTTGTTCCTTTGTTGTGCAATGAGTAGTGTGAACAACATTGCTATGGAATGATTAAGTTCTTTTAAGAATGTAAACATTTAAAAACGGAATACAGGAATGAGTGCTGGAAGGGCTTGCATTTGCTCCACACAATCAGTCCTCAAAATATACATGTAATATGCATTCTAGTATGATAACATAATCATAACAATATTTCCTTTGTAGAACAGTTTAAAAACTCCTTGCCAATTGTCATTGAAAGGTTTGCTCATGAGGCCTAACAATGTGCAAGATTGTCTCAAAACAGTTTATTTGAGATGACAGAATGTAGATTGTTGCTGTCAGTCAATTAAGTGCCTTCTGGTAGAAAGTTTGCCCTGATTGAAGTATTCTGGTTAAATTTTAGATGCCAAAGGTGCTATACAGGTATCAATTTGTTTTAATTATATGAGAAGTGCTGGGAAAAGGGTAAGATATTTGAAGGCCCTCTGTGCCTTAGAAACAGTATGTATGTACCTGAGCAGGAAAGAGATAAAAAAGACACCCCTCCCCCCCACAAGGACATTTGCACATGTAACTAAAAGACAATTATGTATTGGTTTTTATAAAGGAGAGGAAAACATTTATTGATACTTCCCCTTGAAATATTTTGGACTGGAGCTACATAATGAAACAATTATTTACATGAAAATTGCTCATTGTAAAGAGGACAGAAGAAATGGCCCTTGAAAGGATAAATGGAGGAAAATGAAAATTATAAAGGTTTGAAATGATGGCAATTATGTTTCAGATGTACATTGTAAAGTCAGTTCAGTTTGTATGCTGTGAGTTACCATGTCATTAGTTTGTTGAGTGGACATGCACCTAGATGCTTTCTTGTTGTTCCTCTTTTTTCTGCATTGCCAACTACATGTAGTATGCTCACTGGTATGTACTGACATACCGGTAATAGTCTCATACTACAATGTACTATAATAGCTATAATGAAATCAAGTTAACCTCTGAGTAATTGTTACATTTTGTTACACTACTGTCTTTTACAAGTCAATATTATGTCATATTGAAAGTTGTACTTGCAATAACTGAAACTGCCATTGCTAATGAATGACATTCAATGTATGTTAAATAGTGCTTACATACTAGTAACCAATTTTCTTCTTTGAACTTTTTCATCTATCTTGATATGTATGTAGAATTGTGAATCCCTGCTGGTTTGGTTTTACTAAATGTCTACTCTAAAGTTTATCCAGGATTGTAAATTGGGATATTGGTATGGTATTGAATATAATGAGAGTAAAAGGAAACATGGTGTATTTTTGTGAAAAGCCAGAGAAAATATAGTGATATTGTAAATGTGTAAACTGGTGATAAGTTAATCAAATGTTATTTGCTGAAAATTGACTGTAAGATTCCTCTTTAAAATGACACAGATGATATTAAATGTTCGATGTTCTTTACAGGATTGTGTCGATTTTTTATTAATTAATTTCATGTAGATAGACTGTAGGATGACATCCTAAACACCCAGGGGGTAAAGATAGAAGATATCTGGTGGCATCTCACACACCAAAAAAGGAGTGTAGGGTCACATCGTCTAGCCCAGCACAAATGACCATGAGAATAAAAGGTGCTGGTATGAAAGGACTGTCAGACATTCTGTCCATCACTAATCATTGTTAGAATTTCTGCTGCCTCACCAACAGCCGAAGGCTGTGTCTGGTCAACCATAGACACAATGGTAGATGTTGTTTTGTGCAGTCTATGAAAAGGTTTGGCTGGATCTTCAGCTACGTACCAATTTTTTAGATCAGATAAGACAATTTCAAAGGCTGGCAAGGATCAAAATTGGTGATAAACATCAAATTCTCAAGGTTGTCTGTTGTCATCGTTAGGCCATGTTGATTTGATTATATGGATGACATCCGCGCGCGCATGAATTTTTGGCCGTTTCCACAAAAAAAAAAGTTTCCACCCACACTGTAAATTGTACAAAACAGTTGCAAAATGAGCAAATATATACCGAAAGTTGCAAAAAAAATATTTGAAAACGATTCCAACGTCGTAGAATGCCAAAATCAAACAAAAAACTAAAATGCAAAGAAATGAATTTAAAGAGTAGATTATTCGCCATACCATACTCTGTGTCATTTGTTCGACCTTCATAACAACGTAGATTTCATGAAAGCTTTTTTTTTTTTTTGCAAAACTTTTTTTTTATTTGCGTGCTCGCATCAGTTTTGGGGTTCCCAAAGGATGTCATCCATATAATCAAATCAACATGGCCTAATGTAAAAGAATGTAACCTTCGTTTCCCAGCTGATGATGAGAAAACGATTGGGTAGGTAGGGTGATAAACTGTCGCATTGCATAAATTATGTCATCAAGTGATGATCTCTTGACTTGATGTGCTGTTAACTTTCATTATCGACATTGACCGGTGTCATCACAAGACCTTCCCATGTATCAAATATGACATTCCACTCAGGCCTTCTTAAGTTATGCCGACCACATGCACAACTAGAAATACAGACACATAGACACACCCAAAACGATACCTCCATTTTTTATGGAGGTAACAACAGGTCACTCATTGAAGGCCTAGCCAGTTTGAAACCCAACAAACAGTATTGCTAATTTTCTATGACAGTTTCACATTTATCAACCATGGGTGCTTTTGTTTGAGCCTGTTTGTTTAACTTTATTGATGTAGGAAGGCTCTGAATTGGGCGGGGTGATATACGAGGATCATGAGGTCATGCATACAACCTTGGCCTGAAGTACTGTAAAACACTTAATGTACTCAGTAGCAAAAGTTGGTGGTCTGAGAAAATCATAAAGGTTGGCGGGACTAGACATTTGTGGTGGCGGCAGGTGCAGCAAAAAGAAAATTGGCAAATTATTTGTTCACTGTTATTATGAACTTGCAGTACAGAAATGACTGCGAAAACTGCAAAAAAATTGTGATTTACCGTAATTCATGAATACTACATGTACATGTAATATACATGTAATATGTTTCAATGGAATTATTTCCCCATGTCAGTAAACGTCAGTCTGATGTATTTGAATGCTTATCTCGAAATGTTCAGATGCAAGACTAAATTGGCGTAAGCTACAATGTCAAGAACAAGAGCGGAAAAGACCTGAAGTACCCCCCCCCCCTATAATAGCCAGTCTTGTTTTCCAAGTGACCAAATTCCCAAAGTTGGGAACGATAGGGGCTTCCTTAGAGATATACAAAACTTTCAGAGCAGTGGCTCTAAAACGGGTGTGATAGGGGATGAATTTCCGCCTTTTCAATTTTAGAAAAATGAAACTTTTGACATTTTTTGGCCTTCTCGTATTAAAAGTATACTCCTAATGGTCTCTATCATTTTCCTGCTTAATGCTTTTGCCCTAATTTGGCTGCAAAGTTACACATCAGGAGGGTGAAGTGCATGGATCAAAAGCGGCCTCTAGCAGTTGAATGAAGTACCACACCTATATGTTGAATCCAAGCTGCTCCTATTACTATCAGTATCAATGATATTTTTGGGGCGCTTTTGATCCCAAACCTGCAGTGATTTTTACTCCGTGAAGGAGGTCAGGACCTCCGGACGGAGTGTTGTGAACGGCTGGTTTTTCGTGTTCGCAGTCAAAACACTGGGTTCTCTTTGTGTAATCGGCACGCAATTTTATACGCCGTCTGCAGGCATGCCCGTGTTGATGTACGAATGTGTATTTTTGCCGTTGCTGCTTTCGCGGTCAATGTAATATTGCAGATGCACCCCTACAATTACGAGGCGAATTGGAATGGTCCAGAAAAACGCGTTGTTTGGAATAGCAGTGGGGGGGGGTGGAACTTCATGCAGATGTGCGGAGGGTCGATAAGTGGTACCATAGATGTTCGCAGCCAAAACGCATTGTTCCGTACGTAGCATTTCTGTGTAATTTGGCATGTGGTGTGCCATTATTCCCGTGGTGATGCACGTTTTTTTTATTTTTACCCTAGCAGTTTTGATATTGGAGTAAATGCTTATTTTTTAAACATCCCTACAATGTCGTTGAAATGGTTTTGCCCGGGTATCTGACCGGCGGCAGTAACACTCGCGCCTGCTGGACGCAACTGTTGCTGGACTTTGGCATGGCCAGTCGCGCTTAATAAGTAACAGGCACGGTAAGACAGTGGGGCTGTCTTTGTTACTAGTGACACGACCATGATAGATAATGATAGTCCGATCTTTATGTGAATGCAATGATTGTGTGTGTGTAATTAAAATGAACTTCGAACTTGAAACACAGTATCTTTACACGCCCTGAGAGCAGTAATGGATTTGGGTCTTTTTATGTTTTATGATTGTGACGCGCCCTCATTGTATTAACCGTTGCCTAATGTCTGCACAGTAGGTCTGGCGTTGACGCTTGGGATTATTTTTGTTGCAAAATATAAAATTTCACGGAGGATTGTTACCTATGGCTTCTTGTTTACGTTATGAATCACTTCTGATCGATAAATTTGGTAAAGTCTCAAGGGAATCAGGAAATAGCATGTTAGCCGCTGGGTGGATAGCGTACAGCACCAGGGACCAACAGTTTGATTTCTACCTTCAACTGCCTGTTTGATATGATTACTCCTGATGTTAGTTTATCTTTAACTCGTCGCCATGCTGTCTCCACTCCCTGCTGTGTACCTCCCCTGTTACTACAGCTGTCATACAGCTGAGTTCCCCCACGAAGTGTCACCTGCCCCGCAAGCGTGTAGACAGCGTCTCGTACCTGTTGTGCCGCCTTGTGGGGGGACCTGGAACTGCATGTGACAGGCCACATGAAGACATGTTCCAGTCGCGTCATGTTGGCAAACGCCTTTGCCAGTGCAGAGACGTTGACCTCGTTGTCTTGTAAGAATAGTTCCTGTAGCTGCTGCAGGTGAACCAGCCTTTTGGCAATGGCTCTTCCTCCCACGTTTGTTATTGAGGTGTTGGCGATGTTTAGAAGTCGGAGCTCTTTCAAGTGAGGAAAGGTCTCCGCAATTGCTTCCACCCCTTCATCTCCTATCTTGTTATTCTTCAGATTCAACTTTGTCAGCGTATGCAGCCGGTGTAGCTGTCCAGCCATAAATGTTGCTGCATCAGGAGAAATTCTGCAGTCAATGAGATAGAAGTGTGTAATTCTGTCCAGGTATGGGAAAAGCTTTACCAGGGCCTCAACGTCAGTGTCCAACAATAACTGTCCAACTATTGCCAAGCTCATTTTGCCATCATTCGGAAGTCCTTCCGTCTTGTTCTGCAGTGCCTCCAACGCCCTCAACATGGAAGAAAAGACCTCGCTGTATGCGGATAGACCATGTGACTCCATGTAGTCACTTGTAATGCCGTATTCTATGGCATAGCCTACAGCTGTGTCCAAGGTGTGTGGAAGGTCGTTGTAAATTTTCCACTGCCGACACACAAAAGGCCAGAAGAACCTGTCTTCCAGCAGGGTCATCACAACCTCGTTGTCAGGGTAACGTTCCTCCAAACCCGCGGCGGCGTCCTTGTTCTGCTGGAAGTACGCTCTGACGTAGAGGGTCCACTCTCCCCACCAATCTGCAAGAATAATGAACAATAGGTTCAGCTGTATACGCAGATCCCAAAACTACAGAATCAGACTATCAGTACATTGTTCCGGTAAACTGTATGCCCAGAAAGTTGAGGCTACTGATCCACGAGAATTACCTGTGGCTTCTGTTGTCTCAGAAGTAGCTTGTGACGTCACAGGCAGATGTGCAGACAAGGTTGAGGAGGTCGCTGGAAGTGATGTCTGGTTTACCTGTTATAAGAAACACACCAGAGGTACGTAAGCAATACAATGCTATAGACTATTAGTAAAACATCAATATAAACAAGTTTGCATATACATGCAAACATAATTATCATATTATATGATCATAAAACTTGGCATGACATGCTTAAGAAATTTGTGCAAATGTATAATTACAGGCCTAGGAAAGTATCTTACCACATTGTTTTCGTCAGGGTGGACTCTCAGTACACCGTGTTGTTTGAGGATTAGGGCGACCATAGTTGCAACAATACCAGCAATGGTAACACCAACAAAAAGCGCCACCATGCGTCCAGGGCGGGACCTGCAGAACACACGGCAGTTCTGGCTGCATCCCGGGTCGTCGCTGTCATCTCCTGTGGAATACAACAAACAAACAGGCTATCACAAATGTAATGTTGTATAGCAGATACAGCATTTTCGAGGCGTAATTTCTATGTTTCAGTCTTCTAATTGACACATAAGCTCACACTTTCAACTCTTGATAACTTTTATAATTCCTATACATAAACCTACGCCCTTTCACTGTTCAGAGTGGATTGCCTAAGTACAAAAACGTGAAAGTTACACTGGTTACTCACCCCTGCTCGGTTCCTTAGCGCCGTGCCTCCTGTCCATCACATCTTGTGCTGCGAGAAAGTCGGGGTCTAAATCTTCGTACGCATTCTCTGACGGAGTCGGCTGGCCCAGTTCATCGCCGTCCATCCTGTAGAAGACTTGTTCATTGTTCTCATCGGCTGAGGCGACATTCATCTCGTAAAAGGGCTGTTCTTGTTGCTTTTCTTTGGCATTCGTGACGTCCATCTTGTAGAAGGGTTGTTCTTTTTCTTCATCCGCAGTGGTGATGTCCATCTCATAGAATGGCTGAGCTGTGGCATTTTTGATCGCATCTTGTGCTGCCAGAAAGTCGGGGTCCAAATCGGCATAAACGTGCGTCGACAAGTTTGACTGTTCTTCATCATTTTCATAATGTCTGTGTTGTTCGTCGTTCTCGTAATGTCGGTGTTCTTTCTCGTTCTCGTAATGAGCGTGATTTTCATCGTACTGGTAATATTTGTGCTCTTCATCGTTCTCATAATGCCTGTGTTCTCTATCATTTTCGTAATGTCGGTGTTCTTTCTCGTTCTCGTAATGTCGGTGCTCTTTGTCGTTCTGGTAATGTCGGTGTTCTTTGTCGTCTTCGTAATGTCGGTGTTCGTTCTCGTAATGTCCTTTCAATCCCATCTCGCCGTTTTCACCGTTTTGCAAGACAGACTCCTCGCCATATTCTCTGACCGGCTTCAGAACCGCTTCCGGGTCCTCCCGAGCACGCAGCGCCTGTCTCTGCCAGTCGAGGATCCGTTTGGTGCACCAGAACCTCAGTCCTGCCCGTCTGACGTACAGCGGGTCCGGCGGGCGGCAGGCGACATCGGCCGGCGGAGGGGGCGGCTCCTTCGGTCGGACCGCATCAGCTGAGGCGAGTTTCATCTCGTAAAATGGCTGTTCTTGTTTATCTGTGTCTTTGGCATCGGTGACGTCCATCTTGTAAAATGGTTGTTCTTGTTCTTCATCCGCAGGGGCGATGTCCATCTCATAGAATGGCTGAACTGTGGCATTTTTCATCGCATCTTGTGTTGCCAGAAAGTCGCGGTCTTTCTGTTCAACCACAGCAGGGACAGACACTGGGTGAAGAGAAGCAATTGATTGGTGTAAAAAATAAGTAACGAGTAAATTACTAGTAAGTCATCGCATAGCCCAAGTAAAAAAGTAGAAAAAAAAACACCGATGTCCGCTAAAACACACAGAACATGTCTGACCTGAATCCCACATTTAAAGCATGCGTCATTTTGACAATCGGCGTTTAAATTGCCCGATGTGTTGCCAATGATTCTCTACACATGAATGGCATTCATGCAAGCCAGAAAAAAAATGAAAGACAAATTTGTTCACATTATACATTGCGTAGAAAATGCCGCTTAGTTTACAGTAGTGGGTTGTTGTATGATCAAGGAGGATTAGCCTAAGTCGTGCAACTTGGCGCCAAGCACATGTTCGCTACTATGGTAACGTTTTACATTAACTTACAATTGTGTACGACTTCAAAGAACAGGTTTTTCAAACATATGTCTCTTTAGCCCATAATTCTTATACATTCATGCAGTCGCAGAGCGTTACCTGTACGTATGCTCCGTGTACTGTCGGATTTAGATCATACCTACTACGCGATCTGTCACGTCACGATTAAGTCGGCGTCACGTAGCAGGCAAATAGCTTTACCGACAAGTCTGCAAGCTCAAAGGCACATTTCCAGCCGGAATGCGACCGGTTTCCTCTTGATTATCGCACGATTTCTAGTCTGTATCTTTTACCTGTATCGCCGGTATAACCGTCCTTCAGCGTAACACACCAACTTCGCTGGCACACCGCGCGGCGGCAGCTACATGTACCTACGACGCATACATACGTTACACCGAACGACCTGTTACACCCTACCTTTGCACATCTAACTGCAGTTGTTTAAAGCTATTTAGTGATGATGCCCCGACTGTACTTGGTGGCTGTGAGTTCCACGCTACGACAGTCCCATCCAATCTAACAGGGTAGTGTTTGGTGAGTGAATAACACTCTCGATGCTATGCCGAAATGGCATTCGTCGAACTTCTCTCGGTGAACAAATTCGGTGGAAGCTCGTGACGCCGACTTGTTGAAACAGTTGGACATGTCTGAGTCTGGTACAACCACGACTGCAAACATATCTGATAACATCAAATTGTACGCTCAACAGAAATATAGATGCAGTTGTGACGTACCTGCTGCTTTCCTACTTTCATAAAGTTCCTCCAATTCGTCGCCTTCACTCGGCAGACCTGCTCGGGCCGACGTCCCGGTGCTTTTTGTGCTCTCCTTCTGCAGAAGTGGCGGTTTCTTCTCCATTCTTTCCTGGAATTTGAAGGTATTTCCGTCTTCAATGTCCGAATTCCCGATCACTTCTGTATCGCAAACTTCCATTACGTCGCTTTCGGTCGTGTCGTCTTTGCTGTCTCTCCCGTGCGTGGAAGCATTTACCGTTTCGTCGCTTCCCTGTAGTTTTCTCCTCTCCAAGTCTGGGCTAATTAGTCTCACAGCAAGGTGATAATTTATACTGTTGCCATGGAGAGGAAAGTTTAAATCACGTCATTTTGACGTTGCTCCTGGGTTATGGGTTAAAGTTAGAGTTTTTTCTTCCGAATGAGTCTGCTAACAAAGAGCGGCGAAAGGCATTTTATTTATTATAAGTAAGTTTTAAAAATCCCATCAGCGTTCAAAACACACCCTTTTGTCGTCGAGAAAACTTGCTTTGTGCGAAAGTATTTTCCAGTAAAGACTGTTTGATCTGTTTGTTACCGGGAACACCCGCTTGGATATGAGGATATAAAAAATACCTATAATTGGACTTCAGGTGCTATTAGTTCTTTTGCTGTTCTAGGATATCAACAACGTAGAACGAATGGGCAATTTGGACCGGAAGTAGACTCTAACTTACGTATACATCGGCATCACATGGAAATTTATTTATTTGTCTTCGTTTAATCTTCTTAATTTGGTGTTTGGGTTGACCAACTTAAGAGGGTAGCAACCCATTATGCATTTTCTTTCTCCATGCATTGTTTGATAACTCTGAAATCAACCTTGCGAAAAAAGTGAACTGAAATCTTGCGCAGGCGCGGGGATGGTCGCAGGCAGAGCACGTTCCAGAATGTCAAGAATCGAATTTTCGAATTCGAACCGGCGCCTAGCAACCGGATTCTATTTACACAACACCCGTCAGCGAAACCCGAGTTTTGAGGCACGTTTTTTACGTACTCCTTGGCAAAGATGGGGATTTTGAAGAAGTTGGTGATATTATACCTACTGTCGTGCCTGGTCGATGACAAGCACGAGAAGTTGAGGACTCTGATAGCTCACATGCCGCTGAAGGACGCTGTAGGACTCCGCCTAGTGGCGAAACTGCCCGTCTTTGAAACCACCAAAGACTCGCCCCGAGTTTATCAGGTACGAAAGACACGGACGACAACTTACGCATGGGACTTTTCAGTTAGGTCAGGCATGTTAGTGTGTGGATAGTGTTCAGCACCAAGGACAGACATGTTCACAGGTTGTGTGCGGATAGCATTCAGCACCAAGGACAGGCATATTCAATTGTGTAGATAGTTTCTATAAAAATAAGTCTTCCAGAAGGAAATACCCCGTTTCATTTTTCACAACTCGTTCTTATTTGTCAGTCAGGATTGCTGTACCGTACGTTCTCTCAATCTATCTGGATTGCGACATAAAGTCTTTCCGTATTTCAGCTTTATTTTCGATAAAAGGAGAATGAATAGAATGAAACAAAGTCCTGTGTTGCGGTGTTAATCTGTCTTCACCATTGTGTTGTTTGGTACAACAGATCACAGACAGCCAGACTTTTATATCTGCGTATGTCCAACCGTCTGACACCGGAGGTCTCGGCAGACTGGTCCGCTGTGACCTGTACAAGGACAGGAGCCGTGACGTCATGATGACGACTCTGACTGACTACGGCTGGAAGGACCAGGATACAGTCATGAATGTCGTCACTGATGCGGACGACGTATGGTGAGTTGGTCTGTGTTGATTCTATGCCATAGCTTTAGTGTATGTCTGTAGCTCCGCCAGAGGTCTTTCAACTTGTTTTGATTCATCATCTTCTCTCCCCCTTGTCCTTCATTCCCTCACGTGTAAGTATTTCCTTCCGTAAAATTTTAACTTACACCGAAGTCATTACAGAAGTTCTTCTATTCTTTACTTGTTTGCCTATTCTTCCGGAAACACTTCTTTTCTCCGCTAAAGTAGATGATTTTTTAATTATGTATTTTGGGTCTGTCACGGTCTAAACCTATCATGTGCACTCATGTACCCGGTACAAAGCTGTACCCCAAACTTAAACATTTCCTACCATTTTTGGACTTCTCTTCGCATAAAATAATCCCATGCTGGACTGCATGTTCCCCCCAGGCGCTACAGTTACCTGCTGGATAGCTGTTTCTGGCTCCGCGAGGGCCGTCACTTCGACGAGCTGGCCGAACTTCCGCCACCTGACCCGCTCACCTGGCTGCTCCAGGTCGGGAGGAACATCTACAAGACAACCTGCAGTTACTTCAAGGACGCGGGGAAGACAACAGGTCAGGGTTTGGGTCTTCTGTTCTTCAAGGGAGATTTGTGGGCTCCATTGGACTAGACCTAGGACATAGACATAAAGAGTAATATTTTCAAGAATATATATGAGATATATATACTAGTATAGCAAGGTGACTCTGGTTTGTGTTGTTACATAGATCTCACAGTTTTTTCTTCTCCAGACCTGCGCATGGATGACCGTACCCAACCCACAACACTGAAAAGTGGCTTCATGGAATACCTGACTAAAACTTTCTGGCCTGAAGACGTGAAACCTGACACTGACCATGGTCAGTACAGACTAACAGTTGCTACTTCCGGGTAGAGCTTCTCTTGCTTGCTGACTTGTATGTAAGATTAAAAGAGAAGCACTGTACCAGTCAACTAGTTACCATGACTTATTAGTTTACAACATGTACAACAGATTTGGGGAATCGTGGAAGGAAACAATGAAACAAAAATGTGCTACCTTGTCCTGATAACAAGTTCATAGGTTATCATAACTGGTTTTGCTGACACATGACATATAAGCCATATAGGCCTGTTTTACATGCTTTTCCTTGAAACTATGACATACAAAGCATTTTTTGTCGACTAAAAATCTTTTCTAACTTACAGACACTGCGAAGGACGAAGATGCCACGGCTGGATGGTTTAACAAACTCTGCCGCTCAGTCCGAGACAGTGTAACCACGACTTCGCCTTCAGGTGATGTCAGATCAACTGTTCAAACAGGACAGATCAGCGGGGGAAATACTGACAGTCCAAAAATTGGTAGGTAAACACAGTTGCCATGTAGTTCATGGTTGTATATTTTATATCCCTCAAATATGTAAGGACATCTAAAGGACAGGGAACATCCCTTAATATGGTAAAAGTACACATTTTGAACTTTTTAGAGTTAAAACTTTCATGGTAGTATTTTGAACTTCGTTTTGACTGTGATTTTGATTTTCAGTTCAATCAGCAGTTTTAAATTTCACTCATACAATGTTCTCATGTAGTTCATGACTTTCTTTATATTGCACAAAGATACAAGAACACCTGAAATGACAGGGAACATCCTTTCATTTGATAAAAGCAAAGGTTTTAATGACAAATGTTTTATAGTTTACTCATACTTGGTTTTTCTGTCCAACAGCCTCAGATGGTGATGAGTTCAGTACAGGCTTGTGGCACAGACTTCAACTCAACTACCTCATGGACTACATCATCACAGGCTGGACAGCTAAGGGGGGGGGGGAATAAGTGATGTGAAGTAGAAATACATCACAAAAGAGTTTAGTGCATATAGCAGTTGTAACTTGAGGCAAACTCTCTTGCTAGAACTGTGGAAAGAAGTTCAAGAAAAACATGCCACAAGTGGTAAAAAAAAGAAAAGAAACAGGCTCAATCCAGCATCTAGAATGAATGTATCGAATGTAGCATTAAAGATTATGTTGACTGTAGCATTATCAGAGCTAGTCACACAACGAAACATTACAACTTGGATAATTTTCTGAAAAAAATTCTGTCAAAAAGAAGTTGGCTGCTTTGCTCAATGTGAGCTGTGAAACAAGCTGTACTTCTGATACTACGTGCAACTACTGCAGTGTACTCACTACATTGGAAGGATACCACAATGTTTTACCATTTTGGTGTCAATTTTGAGTCAATGACAGCTTTACACTGAGCTTCCCCATATTTATTTTCTTTATTCAAACGTCTCAGCTATTGATTGTCTGAATGATGCAAATTCTCTATGAAGCCATCTATGAAATAGAAATAAAATGTATGTGGAAAGCTTGCTCGTGTCTACCAGTCTATATGCTTTTTATACGCTTGTATTCCTTGACATAATAGTATTCTGTGTGGAAAGTGTTCAGCACTAAGAACAGGCATGTCAACCTGTGTGGAAAGTGTTCAGCACTAAGAACAGGCATGTTAACCTATGTGGAAAGTGTTCAGCACCAAGGACAGGCATGTCAACCTGCGTGGAAACTGTTTTGCACCAAGGACAGGCAAGTTAAGATGTGTGGAAAGTGGTCAGCACCAAGGACAGGCATGTTAACCTGTGAGGATAGGGTTCAGCAGTCTGTCATAAAGAAGGAGAAAACCCTGGACTCCGCTTCTCACACTTTATTCTGAGTTACCAGCCTGTTATGATTTTCCTTGTTATCCTTATGTGCAATATGCTACAGCACACATCATTTGCCCCACATTACCAGCAGGCCTGCACGTTTACAATGCTACATTGCATACATGAGACCTTATCATAACTACCCAGTGCGATCACCTCACAAGACCATCTTTTAACTATTTCAAGGGTGATCTTTCCTCCTATTAATAACCTTTACCTCCTTTGTATCAATGTACAATGTTTAGATTTTAGTAAACAAATGATCTTCTTTCCTTTTAATGTATAATATAACCAATCTGACATCTGTAACTGTTGGGTTTCATGGCTTTTCTCTGTATAAATGCTCCCCAAGGTCTTCACCCTTTGTCGTAGCGGGAATTACTGTATGTGAATTGAAATCATATTTACAATTCCGAGGATACAAATAAAAACCTAAGCTAACAATTACATATAGAGTTACATATATATTAAGTGAAAAGCTACAAACAGCAGTAAACTACCTTGAGGTCACTTTTGACAGCTAAGCAAATTCAAGAAATGTTAGACCAAAAACATACCTAGCTCATAACATATAGAGATAATATACATTGCTGCTGAATACATTGTACTTGTTCACTGATCAAAAATCTATGAAGCTTTTGTTAAGACATATAAGGGGTTTACATAAGGCTTACCCCACTGCATGTTGTATATCTTCAATCAACATTATTATTTCCTATCAAAATCTCATGAAATGTACAGAGCTTTTTTTTTGTTCCTGCTTTTGTGCGAAGATAACTGGTTTCTCACAACGTCTCTGAAAATTATCTTATATCCGTGCGGCATATGGTCTAAAGCACATAGGTGCAAGTCTGTGCATATCATTCGTGCTCACTGGTTGCCAAGGGACACGCCCCAATTTGGACTATACCATTGGTTGCCTGGGTAAGAACAGCCCCATGAAAGCTGAGCTCATCTCAACAAGTGGGCTCCACAGATGCACACGGTTACCATTCTGTCTTAGCATACTACTGACGCAACCTACAACACCTGGTGCTTGTTGCCACGGAAATTATATCTAGTTCATGGCTTCAATCTGTGCCAACCTTGCAGCCTTACCTCTCTTCTTCTTCTTTTTTGGTAATGCTTCTACATAGATACATACATACAATTTTGTTTCTGTGGCAACAAAGCACTTAACCTCGCCACATGCTAGTCTTAGAAGGCTCCCCAGTGATTAACATGTATAGTTCTGTTTAATTCATTTACATGTTAGGTCATGCCATAAAATTGTACCTAAAATAGTGGGTATTATCTCAGATTCCAGCTGATAAGTCTTTATCTGGGGAAGTTTGATATCTATATATCTTTTGTGCTGCTTCAAAACCACCAGTTATCAACCCAATTTGAGACAGAGAGGTATCTTCTCACTCAACAATCAAGGCCAGTAAAAGTGACATTTTGTACAAATAAAACCATGAAGGTACCTTCATTTTCATCCAAGTGACACAAAGCTTATACCTGTCCTTAGCCCAGCAAAATATTAACTTTGATAGAAGATGTTCGTTAGTAAGTATAAGCACTTTCCCTGCAATAACCAGTGCTTGAGTCATTCACACAAAACGTGCAATTCCTTCAATTCAGAAATCTCTGGTAAAACCTTATTTCTTCTAAGATGTCCTAAGGGTCCATCTCTACCACAGTCCCCTTCAAAGGAAGTGTGCTGTTTTGCATAGTCTTGGTAAGTTAGTTGTATTGTTTTGTGAACTTTCTCTCAACCAACTAAACACAGTAAAGAATCTATGCTTACAGGGTTTTAATTTCGTGTCATTGTTAACCAGAGGCAAAGCATTCCATGGATGCCATGCAGCATCACATTTAGAAGTAAAGTTACATGTTCGGATAAAAACTTTTTGTTGTGCTTACTGGACCAAGTCAACAATAAACTTTCTTTTTACTCTTTCAAACTCTTGAGTTTCCTTTGATTTTGCTGAATATAATTTTGAGACGTTTATGTATATAAATATAAGAGCTTTTAAGGATATTTAGTTGTAGCTTTTACAACTGTAATTCTTTTGTTGTACAGTTACAAAGATGGGTCGATCATGGTGGGTTTGAAGCAACACATTTAATAAGAGGTTAAAATGACTAGTGGAAATCTGACAATATTTATAGGGTTGATGTGAAAAATGGATCATCTTGTGCTGATGATGTCTCTCTCTCCCCCCGTGTCTCCCCGTGTCCTCAGTCCACAGCCACTCACAACAGGACACAACAGTTACTCTCCTCTGTCTTCCCACTTTTTCTCTGACCTGTGGGTGGAAGGAATTAAGCAACATTAGAGATTTACAAAGATAAGAAGCATCTTACAGATCACTTAGAATCATGGCCTATTTGCTACCTTGCTGGCTACTTTCTTGAAGGTATGTAATTGTCTTGTCATTTTGGCACACCCTTCGCATATAGTGGCCCCTTCCTCTTCAGAGGTGAAATACAGTGCTTTATACAAATTTTAAATGGATTTGATAGATCAGTTCCTATTACATGTACAACTCACAGCTATGATTATCAATATTGGTAGTCATCTTGCTCTTTCCTACGGGGAAAATCTGCATTATATATCAATCTGATGATCCTTTACAACTTTTTGGAATTCTGGAATATCCAACTGTGCAGTGCAAGCAACATCCTGGCATCTATCCATATTTAGACTAAGACTGGAGCTGAACAAAACACAGCATTGTTGCAACTTTTGCATTAAGTTTCTAGTTATCATGAACAACATGTTCCCAAGGAGACTCAACAACTCTACACTCATGACCAAATATAGTGGATGTTTACAACCGTGTTGTATAAGCCATACGACATACTAATTGGCTGGGAGCTCACTAATTGCCCAGCGGAAACCATAAGCTGTACGCTCTGATATCCACAGTGGTGATGAAACCAGACAAACTGTGAACAACACACAGGGCTCTCTCTAAGCAATGCTGCCCTGCCTTTGTTACCTTTTCACTACCGTCTTTTCAATTTTAGCTAGTTGTGCTGAAATTAATGGAAACGTCTTTGGGCTGCTCTACATTTCCTCGGGAGAGTACGGAGTAGCACAAAGGTTTCTGTCATCAAACAGACAAACTTGTTTTGTCTTGTGCACACTCAGAATTAGTTACCTGTGTTCTTTATATATCCCCTTGTTTATTTGTACCAGTCACTTGTTTTGTATCTAACATGTACGTGCAACCTGCTAATAATCCAATCATTATCGGGCTAAGCCTAACTTAGGGTACGTAGAAGCACGTCGCTCCAGGCCATTTCAGACAGGTCCTTTTCAGACACATCCTCTTTGATGACATTTCACATCAGTCCTCTCCTGCATGGATTTCCTAACAAGGCCATTACCAGCGCACACCTGCGCCCAAACCCTCATGACCTTCTCACTTTAATCCGTTCTGATATTTCCATGACATACCCACTATTATTTGTGTGGCTGGGGGCATTTACTACATTGCATGTTATTCAACTTTAAGGTTTATTCTCAGGCAGCTGTTATTACACTAAGACTGATATTTTGAGACCTTGTAAGATAACAGATGCCTTTAAGGCTGTTTCTTCCAATACAAATCCAATTTGAATCACTTTAAAATCCCATTTTCAAATAAATGAGGGCTAAATGGTGCCTTCAGAAATAGACTCACATTTTCTAGACTAATTTCTACCACATGTCGTGGCACGTTGTATTCCATAGGCACCTAATTAGATAGGTATCAAGCTTTGCTGGCTATAAATAAGAACAAGCTCAATTCCCCTGAGGGAAAATTTCACCATCACTGCTTCAGGAGGGAAGGACAAGGACCCAGCTCATTGTGAAGGACCCAATCTTATAGGTTGAATCTTTCAGCAGTTCTTGAACTGGCACAATTAAATTCATTGGCCACTCCTTCATACAGCGGAACCAGAAAACTAACCTTGTGAGTTGGGCTCTGGTAAATTCTCTCTTGCCACCAAATGCATCACTGTTGTCTTTCCTACCGGTAGCTGTAAGGCTGTGGGGAATATCACAAACATCAGATTATACAAACAGCTTTCATCACTATCTTCAATAACCACATATATAATACCATTCTGGACTAAACATATAAATGAAGCATTTTCACTGTAGGCAGTCTTTACAATGGAGAACAATGAAGGCCCACCTCAGTACAAACAGTTACAGATAAGCAGCATACATATCATATAACGATTGAATCTTTGCATGTTAATTATGTGCAGTTTTCATCACTGGCTATTCCCATGGTAAAACGTTAAGGTGTGTAGGCTTACCTCCAAGTGTGACATTTCCGTGCAGGAATCTGCCCTGATATATTAGACGAAGTATGCTGTGTGTGCTGACTTTCTCATCGTCCCAGTCTGGGTGGAAACAACAAAATACAGTAAACAACAAGCCTTCAAATAATGCGACATGTTTCAATCTTAACTACCCAAATGTTACATTCAAACCCCCTCCTTCTCTACATAAAAAAAAGACACCACTTGGTCAAATTTGAGTTTTTATGCACGCCCTTACTGTACAGTGTTGTAACTAACTTGTTACTTTGTCCTTCAGAAGTGACAAGACAAGATAATCCATTTTGTCAGAAGTCTGGCAGCAGACAACAAAAAGGTGAAGGTCAAACAGACTGTACTGAACTGACTGAACGGTGCAACTACAAATCAATATTGTTTAACGTTGGAATTGGCACGTGCCATGGTAAAATGTCCACCCACATGAATTTTTCATGGCTTAAATGAAGGTCTAGAATTTCAGAGATGACATTCATCCATACTGTTTCCATGGGCAGGTTCTTATTACTTCTGACTTGAACATATATGGGGGACAGGATGTTTCATTCAATGGCTTGGTATACTTTTGGAGACTCCTACAGTAATAAAGTTACCTCTACATAACAACAAATGGCAATAAAACATGCAGCTCTCTTCAAAGTTGCCCCTCTGAGTCTGACTAAAAGTTTATGTTTGGACAGCTGAATTGCTCTTTTTTTGTATAACTGAGCAACCAGCTTTCTAAGTAACCTTTGAAAGTTTTCATGGATAAGCAATAAGGAGATACACATGATGTAAGAAAGGAAACACTATGGGGTAGGCTCACCAGTAGGCCAGTTTTCATAAACGTGTTTAGCGATGTCCGCTGCCGAGTCGTTGGGGGAGAACTGGAATTCATGTGTCTTTCCACTGACCAGGATCAGTCGTAAGTTAACCTGGGGGAAAATACAATTCAGACAAATCAATATCAACTGTTTCAACACATGAAACAATCACCTTTTAAGGTTTTCTTTACTGTTCAACTTTAACTTTCAACTAGCTGATTCAGACACAGCTGTCAGTATTGATACATTTGTACATACAAATTGCACAAATAAGTCAGTGTGCCAGTAACCACATAATCATTACTCCAAAATCATAGCCATAGATACAAAATAATGTCTTGGTTTGAGGTATCAGAAATTAAGCATGTGACAGCACATTTCTAAAATAGGCTGTCTACTTGATTTTGTCTTAGCATTGATGAATATAACACGTTTCAAACTAAATACAGGGAACATGTATCATCACCAAAACAACATTTATACACATTAAGATAAAGATTAAGCTATAACATATCCTTAGCCTCAGGCATTACAAACACAGCTAACAACCATCATTTTCTATGGTTGAACAACTTCAAGCTATCATCATTAGCATTTGGCACTAAAGCATACCTTTCTTCATTATCATCTTGCTGACTAACCTACACATGTGTAACCTTGTTAAAGTGTGTAGGGTACAGTGAAAGACGCAATCTCTTAGCCCAGGATTTATTGAGTGGTACTTGCAATGTTAAAGTGCTGTGAAGCATCATTTTCATGCGCTTTACATTCTAGATGGGAGAGGTCAGCTGTAGGACATATTGACTGGCAAGACAAAGTCATAATCATGCTAATGACTGTATGATTTGAATAAGAATTATGATCAGCTGGTCCTATTGTATCTTTTAAAAACTTGTCCTTTTGTGTGAATTAATATTATCTGATACCTCAGCGGTTATCTAGTTGTATTTTTTCTCTCCAAACTTGTGAGTTCTACTATATGAAATAATACAAATTCTAATGTTCGCTCAACATTCTTTGCAACCCGTGACTGTTAAGGGTTGTAGGGAACTATAATAAGGAAGGAAACACATAAACATGTATGAATGTTTGTCCAAATTTTTACCTGCTGTATTCCTTGTGAGACCTGAGTCAAGAGGGAAAAAATTCAGACAGATGTCAACCAGGTTACAAAAATTATTCACAAACACTCATCATCACTAACATGGGTAATCAACCACACAGACAGACCATTTCAAGTTTTCAGACATGCCATATTTAAGTACATCTTCAGCTTTCATGTACATTTTTGCTTACAGTCAGTATAGATTTCGGCTTCTTGATTGAATAAATTTGGCTGAAATTAAGTATACAGTACTTTTCAAGCATCCTAAAAACTACACTGTTGCCATGCAACTAAGATTACTAGTGACGCATGAATAGAATTACATTACATACATTCATACCCTTTTCTCATATTGAAAAAAATCTGACGTTAGTGTACAGTGTTTATATTTTTTGTAGGTTTATTACTACATAGTTATATGTATTTTATGAACAGTTGGTGGACAGGCACATTGTTGAACCCTCATGTTCATTACAAATGTGCATAAAGCAAAGGTTTCTGCCCTACGTAATTACTCCCTGAAATAGAGGTGAAAGATGTCATTAACAGAAAACCTGAGGGCTTATACACCTATAATGAAGACCTCATCTGGTCCAAACTGTTGTTCTTGCAACTTTTTGGCGACGCCTCAGGGGCGGAGGCATTTTTACAGTATATTACGATCAAGCTGAAAGAATTTAGAAAATTTTACGAATGCATTCCCTGGGGAATTGGTTTTGAGGTAGCCTCCGGCCTTATGTCTTCGGACCCAGCAGGAAAGGCCTATGTTACCATGCATGCAAAAAGCACCTTTTCGGGCAAACTGTGCCTTTTTGCACACAGAATATTAATGATTATCTTTATTGATATTTCAAATATGTTTTCATCTATCAAGAAAGAACAAATTTTGTTGCTCATAAGAAAGAACAAGGTGCAGCATATTCAAGCTTATAATGCTTCAAATATGTTTTTAGTTTCAACTATATGATGCTGGTCGTTTTTTTATAACTTACCTGTGTGATACATGTAATAGTGATGTTTTGTGTAAGGAATTTTATTCACTTGTGTGTTTTCTATGTAACACACAATGTATGCATGTTTGTGTCAGTCTTGCTTTTTTATTATTTTTTTCTTTGCTTTCACGATGCTGTTGCATTCAGCTGCAGTGCTTGTTTTTCAACTTTCTTGCGTGAAAAACATGAATGCACACCCCAATCCTTCCACGACTGGGTTTCGTGCTAGCCAGTAAATTCCTGCTGTAGTCTGCATCTCAGGGTGGACATGCCGAAGTCTGCCTGTGGTATAAAGAGAGAAAAGAGCATAAATGAATCTATGCCAACTTTGACCAGCTAGGACTAACTTAAATCAACAAGATTTGGGGTCATGCTTTACACATAAATGTAAATATGCAATGTGAGTCGATTAATTAAAAGAATGCAATGAAGCGGACACATAAATACACCCTTTTCTAGCAATGAAATTTGCGACATCATGAAGTATACATGCCGTGTGAGATTTTCTGCTGCCAGGTAATATATATAATTTCATTATGACTAGCATATGTGCCAGACCCTAGCACTTAGAACAAGGAGCTTACCTCCTCGCTTAGGAGAAAGAAAGTGTTTTTTTCTGAGTCTCTCGATCGGGCATCTATATCGCCCAACACGCCCCAGTTTCGGAGCTGGCATCCTTCTTCAATTTATCTAGAGTATCTATTCTGGGTTCCGGGCGTGTGGTTTCCCCGACTGAATGGAGTATCGTGTCACAGGGCCTGGCACCCAGGCTACACTGTTTTCCCAGCAATGACATCATAGTAAACATGTTACCGTATTTCAAAAGTCACACAGCTTATTGTGAAAGAAGTACTATATAGAGATGCGAACATTGCTTAACCATCGTGATTATGAACACTATTGCATAAAATAAGGATGGTTAGGCACTCACCTGGTATTTTGTTCCACTTTTTGATTGTATTCTTGAGTAACTGTTGTGTTTGTCGTCATGTAGAGCTGAAAGAAACAATGTAGTACTGGTTAGCGAAGTTTGTTGCATGCTAGGGTCGCGTTATTCAGCATAGTTCTTCAGCGTTCAGCGTGACCACGATGTGAAACTTGGACCTTATTATGTTGGGATGTCAGCAGGTAAACTACACATATGTACAGAATACGCGGAAATAATATCAACTTGCAATTGTGTGAATAGTATTATTGTTAAAACCAAAATGGCGTTGACCTAGAGATGAGTATATGACGTACTGAAACCTTCTCCGTGCACTGAGATGGTCTCCACTGTTCGGAACCCCGAGTCGTTGGCAGGTGCGGGCAGTTTAGCGCGGACAGGGCATAACCTTATATGCCAGCACCGGTGTTCAGTGTAGAACAGTAGGGTATCCCTCGCTGCATGTCTGAGATTTACTGGAAAGACAAGAAAAACCAACGCCCGGGGTTACTGGACAGAAGAGCCTTGACGTAGAGAATTGAGGGTAAGACCGGAAAACCCCGGCGGAACTTGGCGTCAGGTGGCTCAAACTTTACATAAACCAGCAGCTAAAAACGAGCAGCTATTAAAAACAATTCACTAAAACACTGATCGTCGATACCTGATAAAGACAACCAGCTGGATCTGTAATGAAATACTGACCAAATTCTGCAAGCAAAATGGACGGAATAAACCACACAAAGAACAAGATGAGTGAAGTCAGCACTGCCCGCCCGCCCGCCCAGAGGTATTTCATGCAGGGGTATTTTACAGGGTCAGTTACAGGACGCGTACGACAATGATTAGAAAGGCCAGCTGGAAAGATCTGACATATCAGCAGAGTTTGGCTGGGGCCTGCAAAATATCCCTAAGCCACTCATTTGAACACAAGGGTTTTGTCGGAAAGAGGAGTCCGAGAATATCAAGTAAAGCCGAAAAACTTGATCCCGGTGGAAGTTAACGTCAAGTGGCACACATTTTTAATGCGTAATAAACTTAAATTCCAACTTCTCTCCACTCGTGCGGTAACCAGCCAACAAGCAACTTTAAACTTTCTCTAACTCCGAGTCAGTGATCAACAATGACGTATCGATCAGTCATGATATAACAACACCCAAATTCTGACACCGGAACTTTGAAGACACAACCAAGAACTTAATTTCTAACATCACACAAATAAAACGTTCAAGTCACGCTGACTATGACGCTGACTATGATGGATACTCTGCCCGGCCATCGAATCCGTAAACAATAATTTGTAATTCTTATCGTAAAAGCGAACTCACCAAAATTTCCCAAAACCACTGCGAGTGATACATGTGTTAGGGTTAGTAGAACCGTTCCTCCATGGCAGTAATTATAGGACTGAATCTTTGTCGGTGATAAATAGCACACATAGTGATGTCCCATTTAGAACCACAATAAGGAAATACCCTGGGACATGACGACAACATAGCGAGATCCAAGAACACCAGAATAACATAAGAAAAAGTTATAGAAATCTAAGAAAAATGTCTGCTTGAAAGATACCAAGAATTCCGAACAGAAATAGGGGAAAGTTTACTAAACATACATATACAGAACACGAAGTACATACAAGTCTCGTACAGAAAAAAAATAGAGACTGGGTACTAGTACAACAACTAGCAGACGTGACACTGCAAAAACACGGCTGTGATTGCAAAATTTAGACTGATACGATTATGGCACATTTATAACATTAGGAAGTAACATTAAAGCATACATTTTTAATAGCTTCAACCGGTCCTTCGTAGGTTCCTCTGTACCTCTACGGTTTGTGACCGGTAACCAGGTAAACAGTGTAAAACTATAACAAGGGGCCCTGGCGGGTAGTTCCCG